TAGGATTTCTAATGAATGCTCTTTTTTTATGCACTTGCCTTGATTTTTTATTTTTTGCTTGTTTCATAATTTCCTGTTCTTTTAAATGAAAATTCTTTTATTTGTTTCTTTGAAAGTTCTAAATGTACTCATTTTGGAGTGGTAGTCAGGCTGGTCTGTATAATTAATTTCACGTGGAGTGACTGTATTTGCTAATTGGTAAATTTGTTGGTTGTCTTTCTTAGCATTGGATTGGCCTGTTTTTTGGAATTTGAGTTTACAGGATCATTCTGAGTGGAAGGTGTATTTTGTTTGTTTGATTCTCTCCTTCCTCACCCTCCCTACCTAACAGTTTGCACCTTCTTCCACCTGACTCCTTGAATTCCCAGTTTAGAACCAGCCCCCCCCCCCCATTAAAACATTTAAATATGAAAAACCAAAGGGAATTGGGTGGGAAGAGGCAAGAGAGGAAAGGAATTGGAGTTTCTTGGGAAGGAAGGCCTTTTAAGTTTCATGTTGCATATTTAACACTAAAATCTCAGACCCAGCCAGAGAACCAGTGGAGACCTTGTTTCAGGCCCAGGTCATGAGGCTGAGTCTGCATCCCTTTCCTTCCTCTAGAGGCTTGCAGTGTTCTAAATCTAAAATCTGTGTAGAAATAATTGAGTTTCTGTGCCCCTCTCTCTCACCTCCAGTCTCCTTTCACAAGGTGTTGGGGAGTTCAGTTCTGGCCTCAGTTAATCAGCTTGGCTCTCTCCTTGTCTGCTTTACAGGGAGCACTTTTAGGCCTCTCAGTTGCCAATGCCTGCTTCCAGACCTGGACCTCAGAAGGCAGGCCCAACCTAGCCCATCCCTTTTTGCAGCCAGTCTGTAGCTTATGAGTAGGTCTTCATTGTATTTTTAGAATATACTTTTAACTGTACTACTACTTTGTGTTTAGAACAGCGAATGACGAATGACGTGTGAATTCACTGTATGATCTTGATTGAGGTCCGGATTTTGTCTTAATGTAGAGTTCAACTGTAAGTTTCTCCAGGGAGGGATGTTTTTTATCAACATCAAGCATGGTGCCTGGCTTTAGGTGCTCACCGTGGATGTTTTTAAATAAAGGACTCTTGGGCATGTCTTCTTATTCGTGTTTACACCTGAAATGTTTAGTTTGAATCCCACTAAAGTTGCATAACCTTGGCAAGCTGCTTAACACTCTAATCTTTTTGCCTGTATTTAAGATGAAGATAATATACCTCACAGGGTTGCCTAAAGATCTAAGACAGTTCTGTGCAGGTCCTTGCCATGGATTAGGAGGCATTCCAGAGAGATTAGTTCCCTCCTGTGTCTGTCCCCACCCCACCCTCATCAGTGATTAATGATTTCCCTGGCAGAGCAAACAATTTTCTGCAATTGTTGGATATGGAGTTCTATATGTGTCAGTTAGGTAAAGATGGCTGGTAGTGTCATCCAGACTTGTATGTTTTATTGGTTTTCTTTCGATCGTCTGGTTCTATTAATTACTGAGAAAGATGTGCTAAAATATACAACTGTGATTGTGGATTTGTCTAGTTCTCTCTTTAGTTCCCTCAGTTTTTATTTCGTGTGTTTGTTTTTTATGACATTATTTTTTGTTGCTCTTGAAATCTTCCATATAGTTTCATTTCTTTTTTTATCAGCACTATTGCGGTATAATTGACATGTAATAAACTGCATGTTGAAGGTATGCAGTTTGATGAGTCTTGTCATATATATATAAACCAGTGAAACCACTCTTACAATCAAGATAATGAACACATCATTACCCTCAAGTTTCTTTGTGCCCCTTGATAATCCCTTCCTCCAGCTCCCCCTCCCACTCCCAACCTGGTAAAACTGATAGGCTTCCTGTTTTGTTTTTGTTTTTTAATCCTCACCTGAGGATATTTTTTACATTGCTTTTCAGAGAGAGTGGAAGGGGGAGAGAGAGAAAAAGAGCATCAATGTAAAAGAGACACATGGATTGGTTCCCTCTGCACGAGCCCCAACTGAGGTACATGCCCTTGGCTGGAATCGAACCTGGGACCCTTCAGTTCACTGGCCGACACTAACCACTGAGCAAAACTGGCTATGTGGCTGATATGCTTTCTGTCACTATAAATTATTTTGTATTTTTTAGAGTTTCGTATAAATGCAATCATACTTTATATACTCCTTTGTGGTCTGACTTCTTTCACTGAGCATGATTATTTTGGCTTTCATCTATGTTGTATTTATCAATAGTTCACTCCTATTTATTGCTGAGTAGTATTCTATTATATGAATACAGCATAATTTGTTTATCCAGTCCCTTATTTCTGGACATTTGGATTCTTTCCAGTTTTTGACTGTTAGATAGCTATAAATGTCTGTATATAAGATTTTGTATGGCTGTATGCTCTTGTTTCTCTTAGGTAAGTACCTAGGAGTGGAACGTTTAACTTTTTAAAAAATTCCTAAGCTGTTTTCCAGTGGTTGTACAACTTTATATTTCCAGTAGCAATATGACAGTTTCAGTTGCTTTATACATCGTCACCAACACTTGGTATGACTCGTCTTTTCCATTTTAGCCATTCTCATAGGTGTATGTGGTTTTTCAGTTGCAGTTTACATTGAATATTATTTTGTATTAGTTTCAGGTGTATAGCTTTATTTCCTAAAACATTAGGCACATTCTATGTGGTGCTCTGGTTGTACCTCAATTTGCATATAGACTACTAGACTGAAGGTAGAGAAATCTCGTCAACCTAGGACAGTGCTTAAACATAATTGGCACTTGAATTTATTCTTGAAAGTGCCTTGACTTATATGGGCATTACATGCAATATGTAATTAATATGTAATTATATGCTCTTGGGTTTCTTAATGTGGTCTCCTATTTAGTGTTGGCATTTTACTTAATTGTAAAAGTGCCTTTATCCAAAAATAGATGTTGCAGTGTTATTCTTCTAGTCTACCTAGATTGTTTAGATTGTTTCATAAACATGATAGATGACTAAACTTTTTTGAATGAGATTAAATTAAATTCTTATTTCTCCTTAAGCAGACCCATGCTGAACAGCTCTGCAGATCTGGGGCTGGGGCTCTGCTAACTCATCTGGCCAATTGTCCTTCTCTGCTGTCCATTTCTAAATCTCTCCACTCCCACCACCAACACCTAAGTCAGGACTGCGTTATTTGTAGTCTCTTCATTGTGTTTTGTTTTAAGGTCATAGTTTCCCTTGTTTCTGGTAAGGGAAGAAAGGAAATAGAAATATAGCTGATTAAAATTTATAGAATTAAAAAAATAACTTAAAATGTAAGAAGGCAAAGAAATAAATGAAATTGTTAGTCTGGTAAAGCTTCATTTGGACCCTGTTATTAAGAAATGATCATTTGCATAGAGACTGCACTTCCTTTGCTGAGGAAATGTAGTAATATACTAATAGACTTTCAGAGCTTGATGGAGATCTGTAGATCATCTGTTTCATTTTCTTAGATAATTTGTTAAAATTCTAAATTATTAAGTCTTCTGTGCTAAGATACTGATGTATAGATACATTTTCTCTAATCCTTAGTAATTCTGAAAACATTTATATGTTTGATTCTTTTTCGAGATAAAACAGACTCAGGGAAGTGATTTCCCCAAGGATGTATTATAGTTACAGAGTTGAGGGATTTGAACCCAGATCTATGTTCTGTTAGGCCCCATTAGTTTATTATACTTTTATTATTATTATTTCTTAATCCTCATCCGAGGATATTTTTCCATTGCTTTTTAGAGAGAGTTGGTTGGGGGCGGGGGGGCGAGAAAGAAAGAAACATCGATGTGAGAGAGACACATTGATTGGTTGCCTCCAGCATGTGCCCTGATCCTGCCTGGGATTGAGCCTGCAACCGAGGCACGTGCCTTGTACTGGAATCGAACTTGGGACCTTTCAGTCCATGGGCCAACACTCTAACCCCTAAGCCAAACTGGTTAGGGCAAGTTCATTATACTTTTTAAGAAGAATTTACAGACTTGATATGCAATGAGATCACTCATTTCTTTGGCACAAAATTATGATAATTTGTACTCAGTATTTGTTTATCTCTCTTTTGGTCTCCCTTTGTTTTGGTTTTTAGAGAATCAGGACAGGAAATTACGACTTCCAATTCTTAATTTTTTTATTGTGAAAGATAACATACTTTCAGAAAGAAGATAAAATGTATGTATGGTTTTGTAAATAACGTGTGTACCCAGTAACTGTTATCCAGGTCAAGAAATAGTCTACCAGTGTATGACCTGATTCCCTTGGCAAGAGAACTAAGCCCAAACTCGAGGCAAATGTTCAGTTCTTTACTAGGTCCAAATAGTTATGATTCTCTTTCCTCCCCCTAGTAGTTAACCACTATCCTTACTTCAGTGTCATAATTTCTTTGCAGTTTGACTTCTTTTTAAAAAAAATTTTTTTATTGATTTTTAGAGAGAGAGGAAGGGAGAGGAATAGAGAGAGAAACACTGATGAAACACCAATTTGTTGTTCCACTTATTTATGCATTCATTGGTTGAATCTTGTGTTCCCTAACCAGGAATTGAAACCTGCAACCTTGGTGTTAGCAGGATGATGCTCTAACCAGCTGAGCTACCTGGCCAGGGCCTGCAGTTTGACTTCTTAAGGCATGCATTCCTAAATGTATCTCTCCCTCTTTTAAGAGAATTTGTTTTCATAGAGTAAAAGTTGCTTAAAACCATGGAAATCAGGATAGAGATTAATAGTGTTTGGGTCATAGGAGAATGTTTGATTTATTTAAGAATACAAACTTTTCAGGAATTCGATGAAATATAAATAATTGCTATGCTAATTACAATTGTATATTGGCCAATCCTTTGAGCTATGGTTCAGCTTTGTTACTAATTTATTCCAACTTTCCCCCTTTCATTGGTCTGGGTAATACCTTTTCTGCATCTCTGTTTTTCTAAATATGTATTATAACTTGTGGAATAAGTGCAACTATAATTTACCATATTGTAATGCCTTTTTTTCTCTTTACAGCATGGGTAAGTTCTCTCTCCATGGGGATGATTTTCTTTTGCTGCCCAATAGTCAGCGTCTTTACAGACATATTTGGTTGTCGGAAAACAGCTGTTATGGGTGCTGCTATTGGATTAATTGGACTCATGTCCAGTTCGTTTGTAAGGTAAGGACTTGGTTTCTTCATGTGGCTTTTCAAAAACTGTTAGATACCTTAAAGTTTTCTTTTCAGAAACTTTTCTTTGCTTAAACTTTAAGCATTATGATTTACACATTGTTATCCATAGCAGCAAAAGCAGAACTTGAGAAATTGAATGTTCTTGCGTGCAGTGCCTGAGAGTTAGATGTCAGTCAGGATATATATATTCCATGGAGCAAGAAAAATGTTTCTCCTTTTGTTTTTTTCTCTTCATATAAAAACCCTAAAAGAACTCATAACAGTAAGTTGTCTAAAGCAATAGCATTAGTTTAACGTCAGCTCAGTCTGCAGCCCAAAAAGATACAGTATGTTGAAGCAGTTGTTCATAGGCTTAATTTGAAATACTTTTATTAATAAAATCAAAACTTTGTTATTTATTTCAGCCTAGATAGAGAATTCCTGTGTGCATATAAAAATATGTATATTTTAGAGAGCATGCTTAAAAGAAAAAAATATCAATACGCTTTGCCTGTGTCTGTTAAAACATGTAGTTCACTGAAGGGGAACTAACTGCAAGGAGCTGATGGGCGTATTACTATATGACACACTTCTCCTTGCAGTTCCAATTCTACTAGTAAATCCCTTTTCGTTGTCAGAATTATCCCTAGTTAGCGAATCACTAGTTTAATATGTTGCTCTGGCTAACAGGAGGTGATTTACAAGAAATCCTCTTAAAATGATTTCTATCTTGTGTCTACTTTAGTGGTTTATCTTAATTTCCTGCCTCTTTCCCTTACCTAGCTGTCTTCATGTACTAGTTGAAAAGCATTATTGAGGTCATTAGAAAAAAACACACACTTAACATTTCTTGCTGTGATTATCTTTCAGTATTCTGGATTTAATTAAAATCCTTGGTATACTAATTTTACCCCCACCCTCCCTACCTATACCCCTTCCTCAACTCTAAAATGAGCCTCTTTCTTTCACCTAACTTAGAAGTTTCATTTGGATCCTAAACAATTACTTTTATGTCTTGATTTAAAAATATATATTCCATCTTTAAAGTGCTTTTATGATTTTTTTTCTTCTCAAGTTCTTTTAAAGAAGCAAAAAACGATTTTTTGAAAAAAGAGACTGCTTGGGTAATTCTGATCATTTACTTTTTTTTAAAGAGGAAGTTCTAATTAAAAAAAAAATTTGATTTTATAGAGGGAGGAAGAGAAGAGAGGGAGAGAGAGAAACATCGATGTGAGAGAGAGACATTGATCCATTACTTCCTGTACATGCCCTTAGCGGGGATTGAACCCACAGCCTAGGTATTCCTGATCAGGAATCAAACCCGTGACCTTCCTATGCATGGACGGCACTCTAACCAACTGAGCCACATCAGGTTCAGGTCAGGGGTACTTTTAGTTTTTTGTTTTTTTTTTATAGCAGTAATACAACATTGTGCTATTACCACTTCATCAGATACCTGTTTTGGTTTGGAAGCTTCCAGGTACACATTGTCAGTACCTGTGGCCATAGCACTTGCCGACTGTATTAACAATTAGGCTTTGGTGGAGAGAGGACCAAGAGGTAGAAAACCCATGTAATTTATTACTTCACTTGGTAAACAAAACATACATACACAGACCTACTTACAGCAAGCAATGTTTTTCAAACTTTTTTGATGAATGAGAAATAAAAATTATGAAATGTGTTATACATTGTGATTCAACAAAATGTCTTGAAGACATACTTACTTTACTACGTGTAATGTTCTCACATTTTCTGTTCAGTTCCACTGTTTGGCCCACTGATCAAAAGCTACCAAACTTTTAGAGCAAAACACAGGAGCAAGGGGAAATGCAGTATAAATTCCAAGTGTCGAACAATGGATCTGCTTTCCCTATAGTTCAAGTTCTGCCTTCTTGGGAAGTCCTTCTCCAGCAATCCCAGCTCACGTCAGTGTCCTTTCTCTGGTTCCTTTTACATACATGACTGGAATCTTAACTGATTTACCCTGCACTCACTTCTTGTCAAACTTTAGCAATTTGATTCATTTGTTACTGAGGTGGAAATTTATAAGTGAAAAGGCTCCACAGCAGTGAAAATGCCATCACAAAGCTTATGTACTTTACTTGGTGGGAGAGATACAAAGCTAATTTCACCCAGCACTTAGTATTTAAAATGGTGTGCCAAAGAATGTTTTCAGTTTATATCTGTGGCTCCCTGGTCTTCCAGCTCTGTAGTACTGTGGCGTAATCGTATAGCAATTGATGTCCATGATTATACTGTGTTGTCAATACCATTTTTAATATACGCTTTGAAGAAGGCAGAGAAATGTATAATAGATTTAAATTTTTCTTTAAAATTAAGTAAAAATAAAATTATAAATAAAAATAAATTAGTGCCTTAAGAAGTTGCAGTGATCCGGAAAACTACTTATGTGGAAAAACTGATGCAGAATAAATGAAATATTATTTATATTTTGTTCTGTATTATATGATAGGTAGGTGTCTTGTTTTACTAAAGACTATGAGTAAGGCATAACCACATTTTAAATATTTTTTTCACTAAGTGCCTGGAACACAGTAGCTACTGAATATATGTTTATTGACTAAAAAATGGAGATTCAGTAATAGATGATCAGGGTAAGGTCGAGTTAATCTGGGAGTGACTCTTGAACCTGAGTAGAAGATGGTGCTAGCTGTGGGTTAATAGAGGGGGAAGGGGATCTGAGAGGATTGCAAACACACTTATTTTTATCAGATTGTAGAGTTCCTTGTGATTACCTCAGCGTATTGCTAGACTAGTATTATTGTCCAAAATGTAATTATTAACCAACTTTATCTTAGTTTCTAATAAGTAGTTTGCCTTTACTACTTGATAAAGAGCCTTTTGAATTGGACATTTCAAAGGAAAAAACTTTAGTTTTCTTTTACTCCTTACCTTAATTGTTTCATAGAATGTAATGATATTATCCTTTATTTTCATAAGAGATATATAATCAAGTTACTTAGCTAAACTATAAAATTCTTATTCCTTTATTATTTTTTTGAGACATACATGGCCTTAAAGCTTACCAACGGGAATCACTAACGAGCATGCTTTAGTCTTTCTGGAATCTGAATATGATTTCTTGTTACCTTGCGGAACACTGAGTACAGCATAATACAGGGCGAAGGTTGGTCTGTGGCCTCTAGGCCAGCAAAAACGCGACATAGCTGCTTTTCCGTGCAAATGTTCCTGACATACCCTTGGGGAGGAAATATAAAATGCAGCCTTTTCTTTGTGCCTGGGAAAACTCCATAAAATAAGGAGTTTTCATACTTAAAACTTTTATTGAGACTAAGTTTTTTGTTTGTTATTTTTACCACTGTCAGTTTTGCTGAGGCCCTTCCTGGCACTGTCCTATGTGAGGTGTGGAGAGCACATAGCTTTTTAAAAATAATTTTTTAAAATTGATTTTAGGGAGAGGGAAGGGAAACATTATGTGAGAGAGAAACATCAATCTATTGCCTCCTGCACACCCCTCTACTGGGCATGGAGCCGGCAATCCCAGCATGTGTCCTGACCGGGAATTGAACCTGCCACCTTTTGGTGCATGGGACAACACTCATCCAGCTGAGCCACCTGGCTAAGGTGGAGAGCACATAGCTTTTACCCAGTGCTGCATGGTTCACCAGAAATCCGTGGAAAGAGAAGGAGGAACAAAATCACTGATGACTTTAGGAGTCATTTTTCACATACTTGAGGCATTTGAATTACCCATTCAGATAAAATTAAGATATTTTTAGTGTTACATTCTTGGTTTATTAAGTTTTTCACTTGTGTTTAGTTAAATTTTATTTGTAGAAAATACACTGATTAACTAAAACTCACTTGTATGATAAGGTTTTAGTCTACCAAGCACATGATAAAAATAATGAAAGCTGCTTTCCATGTTTTTCATCTTTACACAGTTCCATCGAACCTCTGTACCTTACCTATGGAATCATATTTGCCAGTGGCTGCTCCTTTGCATACCAGCCTTCATTGGTCATTTTGGGACACTATTTCAAGAAGCGACTTGGATTGGTGAATGGCATTGTCACTGCTGGCAGCAGTATCTTCACAATTTTGCTGCCTTTCCTTTTAAGGGTTCTGACTGAGAGTGTGGGCCTCTTTTACACACTGAGAATCCTCTGCATCTTCATGTTTGTTCTCTTTCTGGCTGGCTTTACTTACCGACCTCTTGCTTCCAGTGTCAGAGAGAAAGAGAGTGGAATCAAAGGAGGCAACAGATCCTCCCTCTTTTCCAGGAGAAAGTTCAGACCTCCAAAAAAATTTTTCAATTTTGCCATCTTCAAGGTGAAAGCTTATGCAGTGTGGGCAGTTGGAATACCACTTGCACTTTTTGGATACTTTGTGCCTTATGTTCACTTGGTGAGTATGCGTCCTTGGCTTTGCTGGCAACAGATATTACTGTTTCATGCAGGAAGACTTAGAATGGAAAGATAGATCAGGTTGGAGTTGGCCTTGAAAGTTCTCCTGATCACAATTCAGGGACTCCTGAAATTCAAGGTCTTTTAAGACAAAGTCAATACATCCATCAAATCTTGAAACAGAGGAAATGTTTAATGCTATTCTTTGGTATTTTAAACATCACCAAACCTAAACAAACAAAAACAAGCTTTAAAAAAAGGAGCAAATGGCTTTAGTCTGAAAAACTTGATTGGTCACTGTTGCTTCAAGTGGCTTACAAATCATAACCAGGGACAAAAATGGCGAAGTGATTTTGCTATCAGTAAATTCTTTTTGAATAAAAGGGGAAAAGTTAGGTAAACACAAAGCCATGGCCTTGACACACAGCAGCATTACATTCACTTGTGGGATACTTCTGGGAAAATGGGAATTCTATTAAGGGATTGATTATTTGAGATGTTAGCGAGTTCCCAAGGAGGGGAGAGGGAAGGGTTTCATAGGAAATTAGGATTTCGAGTGCTCAAGCAATTTATATCATTTATCATTATTTCAAAGGCAAATACAGCCTCTTTATACTAAATCAAAAATAAGCAGTGTCTCAAATATTTGCCCCTGGTAGAATTTGCTCAAAGATGCTTATGTTTCTTCCTTTTTTCTTACTGTTGTGACTGAAAGTCACAGTTAGTGACTACTTACAGTTAGTTCAACATACTTGATAAACAAAAATGATACTAGGATAAATTTTTCTTTTGTATGTATACTATGTGTGTGACTCCAGTCTTTTCTAGCTTTTTTTACTTTTGAACATTTGTGCAGTTTTTCTTTAGTTAAAAGTTTTAGTGAGAGTTCGTAACGAGGTAAAAAAATTACTGAGCTCAAGTGGTCAGCTGGTAAACTATATTATCAACATGTGGGTTCCTATGCCCAGTTCAGAAAGGAATTAGGCTAGGGAAACATGAAGAGAGATGGCAGGCATGTCCTGGATCCAAGAATAATTTTGATTTCTCAATTCTCCTTATTCTCTTTTTGCCAGAAATGTTGGGGATGCATCTGGGATGACCACTGGGGAGAGAGGAAGGACTAGTTTTTATAACTGTGAGCTATTTTGCAGTGACTGAGCTACTAGGTAAAATGAGCTAGTACTTGACCCCTGTCACATGTGCAGTGTGTGGCTACATCTTGATCTAATGGCCCATTTCACACTTTTTCGAAGGCATATCTAAACCATTGAAAACTATTTTTTGTTGGACTATAGATCCATTGTGGAAGGATCAACTTTACCAGTTACCTCTTCCATAGCTTCTTTAGATAAGATGACCTTTGTTATGCTCTTTTCAAAGATGAATATATTTTTAATTTAAAAATTAAAAAAAAATTTTTAAATGTTTTCATTGATTTTTTTAGAGAGAGATGAAGGGAGGGAGAGAGAGAAATATTCATGTGAGAGAGAAACATCAGTTGGTTGCACCCCAACCAGGGATCAAACCCACAACCTGGGTATGTATCCTGAGTTGAACTGGGAGTTGAACAGGTGACCTTTCTGTGCAAGGAATAATGCTCAACCAACTGAACCACACCAGCCAGGGCAGATGAGTATATTTTTTTTAAAAAAATTCTCTTTGGTACTGTAAGGTGAACACACACAGAGAAATCATTCTCTCAACTTTGTTATACCAAACATTTACCAAGGACAAGTAGTGGGTGATTGTCTAGTTATTTCAGGTAATATATTTAGAACTTGCAAATTAATTTAACATACACTATTTTATTTGACCTTCACAGTAAATCTGTGAAGTAGGCAAAAATATGTAAAAGCCTACGTTTTACAGACTGGAAAACGGATCCATCGTTAACAAAGATGTTATGTGACTTTCTAATCAGAGCAGGGGTTGGTTGCCTTCCACTGTGCTTACCTGGTAGCAAATCTAGTACAGCCTTACTTTGGAGCATATTGGGCCACTTCCCTGGATATACCACCAGATATGCCCATCTTATTGGGGGGGGGAGGGGGATGAATATGCCTAAGAAAACTTAATAAATATGTTATGGTCTTTTCCTTAAAGTAAATAAATTTCTTAGCGAGTGATGAGTTAGAAGTGTTATAGAGACTATCGTCATCAGGAGGCTATAAATCAGAGAGTACACAGAACAGTGACATCTGTCAGTTCTGATAACAAGCCAGGCCTTTTCCTGCTTGTCCTCCTGTAGTTGTATTTTCTTACAAAAGGTGTTGTTATTTGGAATTTTCTCTTTGTCAGACTGCTATGGCACTGAAAGCCATGTTGGAGAGGAAACACCAGGCAGTTAAATGCCATGTAGGGTGTTTAAATCTCATGTTTGATGGGTGCACTGAGTTGTTGCTGTGTTGTATTTTAAAGTTTGGATTAAGGGCACTTAATCCAGACTTCATGGATTGGGACACCACTTTCATCCTCAGAGGGGAAAAGGTGTTTCAAATCTTTCCAAAGACTACTAGATGATATTCAATTCATATTAAACCCTTCATTGGGTGTTGAAGGGCATAGACATGCAAGGCATAAGAACCTGTCCTAAAGGAACATAAAACCTAGTAGTGTAATAAAAACCCTTATAGTTTATAAAGGACTTTTACATACATTATCTTATTTAATCTTCAAAACAATACCCTGGCTGTAATGTATCATCCTTATTTCATGGATGAGAAGACTGAGGCACTGAGAGATTTGAAAACTTGCCCGGGGTCCGCAGAGATAGTAACTGATAATTAGTGTAGTACTTTTATGCAAGAAGGCAGTATTGTATGGTGGGTAAAGGTACAGGCTCTGAAGTAAGACAGATCTGCGTTTGAATCCTGGACAGCCTTGGGTAACCTCTCTAAACATTAGTTTCTTCATCTATAAAATAGCAGTAAACCCAATTTTGTAAAGTTGTAAGGATTAGAGAAAGCATATGTAAAGCATCTATCCAGTTCTGGTATAAAAATGAGAGTTATTTTAAGACAGTGTGATTGCCTATTGAGTAGTTTTGGGGGGCAGAGGACTATGGAGTCAGAGAAGATATCCATTTGGAAAAGTGGTTAGTAAAAACTTCACAGGATCGGAATTGGACCTTGAGCATGAGATTTGGGTTAAAACCAGATCCTTAATTAACTAGGGAACTAATTTATCTGTCTAGGTCTTCTTTAAAGATTCAGAATGAAGTGCTCTCGTGGTTATGTTAAAAATTCTAAGATCTTGCTTTTTAGACTATACATGATGATTTGAGGACTATGTGTGCTTTTTGGCAGTCTCACCCTCAAAGCAAGGTTGGAGCGTTTTTTTAGTAGTTCACTTTTAAAAATGAAGGAATTATATTGCTCCTTGGAAGCTTCAAATGAAGGGTACAAATAAGGGTACAAATCTTACTGATCACTTTAGGTGAGACCGAACTTTCTAAATAACCATTTCTAGTAGCAGCTAATTCATATTTTATGAGGTGCTCCTTTTGCCTGAGAGTTTGGTTCTCTGGGTTAGGTTTTTAAGGCTCCTTCTCCTGTGTTTCTTCATTAGCTTCCAGAAGCTCAACATTCGCTTAGTTTTCCTCCTACCTCTCCATCATTCCTTAGTTTCTTGTCTGACTCCTTATCACCCTGACCTCTGAATGTCAGCTTGCCCCTTGATCTTTTTATTCCATTGGTGGTTTCATATAAGCAATTTATTTTCTCACCATTAAAAAAAATCTTTATTGGTTTCAGAGAGAGAAAGGGAGAGGGGGAGAGAGACGTAGAAACATCAATGATGAGAGTCATGATCAGCTGCCTCCTGCATGCCCCCGACTGGGGATGGAGCCCACAACCCAGGCATGTGCCCTGACCCAGAATCGAACCTTGATCTCCTGGGTCATAGATTGATGCACAACCGCTGAGCCACACCGGCCAGGTTGTTTTCTCACCATTGTAATCTTTAAAATTCTCTGCTCTGCCCTGGCCAATGTGGCTCAGTTGGTTGAGCGTCGTCCCGTGCACCAAAAGGTTGCTAGTTTGATGATTCTCTTTCTCCCTCTCCCCTTCTCTCTCTAAAAATCAATTAAAAATTTTTTTAAAAAAATTCTCTGCTTTCATGCCATAATGATTTTTCACATTTTGGACTTAAGAGACATTCTGGTATTCAGTCACTGAACACATCAAATAAGCTCAAACTCAGCAAACCTCAGAAAAATTGAATAGCACTAATGCCATCTGTTGATGGAGGAAACAGTTGATGTGTTTTGCTTTGAACCACAGCTTTATATGCATATGTTGAAATTATAACCTGATAAATGGAAGAAATTTCTATGTCTCATAATTGTAAGTATATGGGAGGAGGGAAAAAAAACTCTTGGTGGCCATCCTCATTAACACGGAAAGTTAGACAGGTGGTGTCTGCCCTAGTGTGTAGCAAGTGAGAATGCCAAGGAGCCTTGGGTGGTGTGTATGAGAACAAGACTGGGACGCAGGAGCCGGCGGCCGACCACACATCTCTGTAGCTTTGGCGGAGCACCGACCACAAACGACGATGAGACAGCCTTTCTCAGTGGTTTCTCAATGCTCCATCCTCAGTAGGAGGACGATTTAATTTTAATTGCTTCACATCTCTCCACCACTACTCACCTTTGAAAATAGATAATTTAGTCCCTGTATTCTATGACTCTATGATAGTTGGTAGCTTTAGTTTTTAAGTTTTAAACCCATATAGTTTTCTATCAAAGAGAATATGATGGACTCGTGTTGAAATCTGCAGTATAGGTGTATTAGCCTGTTTTCAAAAATCTTCATGATAAGATATGTGTGTCGTTTTATGGCAGATAATAATTGACTGTTCTCAAAAGAAACTTTGACCTGATAGAAGCATCTCATTTGCCTGATACTATGATTAAGACAGTCATTTGCTTGCTGACAGGGCAATGAAGTGGACACCAAGATCAGTTGTAATTGGGAACAAACAAGTTGTATTTTTTAATTAGAA